CTGATTGATGTTTTCTTGGGAATGTTCATGTGCATGATGTGAGTGGGGGTTGTTTAGTGATCGACGCATGTTACATGGTTCGAGGGTTGTATGCAATGTCATTGGGGATGCTTCTTATTCCTAACCTGTGTTGACCATTATTGCAGTTGATAACCCGAGATCTGGGCACCATGTCGAGGGCGTTCCTTTCATTTCAGCGTAGCGCGTTAGATCAGGTCATGTCAGGAAGACAGGCCTAAATATGGTGTGCAGGTCTTGTACAGGTCTGGGTTGTTGCTTGGGACAGAAAAGAATGGGTCTTTCCTTACCAGGAGATGTCACAGTCAATCCAGTTGTCGTCGACGTCCGTGATGCGGTCGCGAGAGACTATGGCATTGGTCTCGCTCGGGGTCAAATTTCCAGGCTCGGCTGCTTGGGGGAGGATGACGGTGGTGAAGAGGGTGAGAATACATAGCTGTATTATTCTTGGGATGATCTTGTTGCGGCGGGCATCCAAGGTCTTCTTATACCGCTGGTTCGAGACCTTGCACATCCTCTTGAGGGTATCTTCGAGGCATCACCGTTGACGCCAAAAAAAAAAGCTATTCCAGGCGAAATTGTCATGATGCGCCATGGCTAGCTGACATCAGAGAGCCTTATGCGCCTATCTCATTAGTTACTGAGGCGAATCCGGACAGTATGTAGTAATGCCTACCTTGATATAGACACTCAATGCCTCAGATGCATGATACTGGTCGTTAGTGAGGTGAAACAGTCGTTGAGATTCATATATAGACCGGACGACCGGTTACACGGCATGGTAGGGGCGGACTCAAGGTTGGAATCGAGGCTGAGACGCGGGTTTGAGTATCAGTGATAGCCAATATCGGCGCTTGGAATGTGCAAAGTGAGGTGTATTTGATTTTTCGCAGAAAAAGGCAGCTCATTGACCCAGGAGTGAAAATTCGGACGGGTGGTCTCAATCTTGTTGATGGGAATCAGAAAACTTGCCTACCGTGTGCTATACGCAAATGATAAGGAGGATAATCTGCGATGGTCCAGGGCTGAAGATGCGACACAGTGACCAACTTAGTGAGTAATTTGCAGTTATTGGGCTTTTTTAAAACGCGTCTCAGATACCGACGACTCGGGAGGTTGGATGATATTGGCGGATAGCGGTAGCCTTGCTGGATCAGTCTTTTCCATTCTCGGACCAGCTATATAAATTAAGCCTCTTCTGTCCTAAGATATACCGTTAATCGCACTGAGTCGCCAACGATATGTATTCTGGACTTTTTGGCAGATACTATAACACTTGCCGAAGAAATCGAATGATATTCCGATGTTCTGCCTGGTAGCAGACTTTGAGGTATTACAGCCAGTCTACATCATTGGGAGCAGCAGAACGTACTTGATGCGCTGGTTCAAAAGCTTCGAGTGATTCCGTTGAAAGTCTTCTTGCGAGATAAGAATGTGTGGTCGGAACCACGATTAGAAACAAAGTAGATAGTAGATCGAACAGTCCAACGCATCTGACAGACACAACTTACTCGTGTAGGTTATCAGTCTTTCATCAAAGGACAGCGAGCTTCTCCGATTATCGTACCCTATGCGGCATGCACACAGGGGCTACCTGTCCGTGCAGTCTGCAGGTATCCACACTAGCCTGGCCAGGTACACAATGAACTGGAGCTGAGAAACCCCCATCACGCGCACATACATTAGGCAGATGCCTTGATCAGGAAAAGACAAAATCATGCCGGCCGGTCTAGATGAGCGATTGGAGCTACTGCACTGGCTAGCTCGCTCCAGCGTTAGTACTAAATAGCATCGAATCCTTCATGAACTCGACGATTCTTTCCATATATATCACTATGTCGAATATGGAAATGTGTCATGTGCACAGGGACAACCGGAGAGGATTGTTTTCATTCGCCAGGTCGTGCATCCTCCAGTATACTATTGCCGCTAGCTTTTCAATAATTGTACTTTATGCTGTAATTAGAAAATGGAAATTTAAGTCACTAGAAGATCCACTCGTGTTTCTGTTGTCTGCAATCAACAGTACTACTGTATGAGGTCCAATGTCGTAGTATTTACGACCACAGGAGCGTAGTGCGGAGGAAAATATATAATATCATTACTGAGTGATACAGATGAACTTGATACCCAAGTTACTGGCTAAACTACACGTATTGCGGCCTTATTTCCCCGTTTATAGTAGCTATTCCCAAATAACACAAATTGATTGCGGATAAGTGCATTGCAGGGTCTCAATGTATGAAGTGGTGGCGCAGAAGTCGGTGAAGGCAGATGTATCGAATTAGGCACGGAAGCTAACAGCCTAACAGCCTGTTAGAGGAGCCGAAACTGTAGTTCGTATCCGACACGAAAACCAAATGATAGATAACACATAAGCACAGACTAGGACAGGTGACTTGTGTGCAATGGAAGGCTACAATGATCAGAAACACTCGTATAGACCCTTTATCACCAGCAATATTCAAACAGACCTCTCGCCAACCAGTAGACTACCGAATCCACCAACCGGAAAAGCGTTTAATCTACGCTCTAGCCGGAATCGGATTACCCCCAAGGGACGAGAACATCCGGGGAAAGGCCCGCGTGGCCCCGGCACTCCTCGGATGCGGGGTACAGATTGCTGCTGTGGCTCGATAGGGGAAAGACACCGCAGTGACATCTTGGCTGAATCCAATGCCAGGGCACTAATTCTCCGTCGCATGTATCTACCGTGATAACATCCCGGCCTACGTTCTCTTGGCCAATGCGTCATACGCCATTTCTTTGATTGTCCGCGTGGGAGGCAAAAATGGGGGGTGTTCCAGGCACCTGACCAAAGCCGGGGGCGGCAACTCGGATATTCTTGGGAACTCGGAAAGGGGGCGAAGTTGATCTATCATGTGCAATTATCGTGGTTGTTAGGAAGCCCCCCCCCCTTCTTTTTTATCTACTCATACTGAGAGAATAAGAATTTCGGCATCCATGCATCTCATATTTGTAACCTACAGTCAGTAGATAAGAACTGAGACTCATGTATGAGGGATATTACTGCAGTAAGGGGGACCATCCTTCAAGGGTCCACGTAGCGGGTTGACAATGGCAAAAGCACGCATCGGTATGACATGGAATCCCAGAAATGTGACTCGGATCCAGCTGATAGCTCTCATTTGCCTCAAATTACAGCGCACCCGAAAATAGTGCTCGAGCCCGAAAAGACGGCAATATCTTCTGCCCATGATAGTGACGTTGGATCGTCCATCGGTCGCGCATCCGGATGCTGATTGGTGGCGGGCAGGAACGTTTCGGGAAGGGGATGACTAAGATGATACCGGAAGCGGGAAAGTGCGGACGAGGGGAACCCGAGATTCTCCCCCGGCATTTCGTCACTCGGAAGGATTCCATTCGCAATCGCTGCTTCTGCGTTTCTGGTCGGGCCCAGACTTGAAAGCAGTACTAACTCTGTCTCCATTTTGTGCCAGTTCTCAGCCAGTCCTGGCAATGCATTACACACGAGTCGCCTGGTCGGGTATAGTCCAGCCCTCCTAGCCGAAAAAGAGAAAAAAAAAAAAAGAAAAAGAAATCTTCCTTCCCCCCGCAATTTCCCTAGTACGCAGCTATGGTTTGTTTTATCGCCTCTAGACTCCGTCTCTTACATTGAGCTCATTCAACGTCACCACTCCAACCCGTTCCATCTGCCCGTCTCTCTACGTCCATTGTTATTTGTTCCGCCAGCTAACAGGAGTAGACGGTCCTTTTGTCCTTGGAACTCAGTAAATTGTAATTGAATGACCTCTTTTCAGCATTCATTCACTCGATGATCCGGTGGTGGCTGCGCGCGGCAGGCTGCAAGACCATCACATAATGATAAATACCTCGTTCCCGTAGCGCTGGGGCCACGAATTCCCACTCTGGCCCTCACTAGCAGCTTAAGCGTCCCATCCCTGTACTCCAAAGCACTCCAAACCTGCGTACCAACTCCCACTAGTGCCGTTAATGAGACATTAATTCATCATCCCCTGACGCGCTATCCGTGATACCGCCTCAAATCTCTGATCCTGTTTCCGAAGCTTGTGTTATTTGCTCACTTCTAGTTGGTGCATCCGCCATCCCTTCCGGGACCACCTCGTGCCCACATCTGGGGTTCGGGACTTTTCGGGCTTCAATTCGAGGCATTTGTCTTCCTTTTCCACTCTTCACGATAACCATCGTCGTCCAGATTCGGTCTGCTGCCCCGACATCTTCCGTGGAACGGTGGAGTAAACATTTCCAGCTGCAATTCCACACGTTCAGGCGTCTTCGATCGCCCATTATGAGTCCTGCGACAAACATTCATATACCCCCCGTTTCCCCCGCTGAACCTGGTCCTCTCGCTTCAGATTTCTTCCAACAGCAACTCGCAAAACAAAGAAATAATAACTATCATTCTACCTCACTAAGAAACATGGTTGCTGCTTCGGTGAATCGCACTGCTCTGCACCCTGGTGGTGTTCAGTATGTCTTGTCCCTCTCTTCTATCTACCCGTTCCTTTCTTGATATGTTTGTCGCATTGCTCGGGGTTACCCTCAACGGCCTGCGCAATGCGTCGCATATCATTCTATGACCTTGCCTGGTATAGATCATTGCTAACCATGACCCTCCAGGCCAGGCAAGGGTCACACTGAGCTCGAGGAAGAGCTTCACGAACACGCCCACATTGACTATGACCGCGTCGCTATTGTAAGCTTACCCGTCGCAATGTTTTTGAGCCTTGCTAATCAAGATAGATTGCCAACCCTGCTGTCCCTGCTCTCTACGAAGATGCTCTGGTCTACGAGACTGGTACTGCTATCACCTCCAGCGGTGCCCTGACTGCCTACTCTGGAGCTAAGACTGGTCGCTCTCCTTCCGATAAGCGTATCGTCAAGGAGGAGACCTCCGAGAACGATGTCTGGTGGGGACCTGTCAACAAGCCCATGACTCCTGATGTACGTGTTTCCCCTTCGTTGCTGTCTTTTTTTGGGGTTCCCCTGCAAGTGCAATATATCGCGCATAAAGATCATCCCTTGCATGGGCCTGCAGCTGGCATGGACCCAAGCTTTTCTGGCAGCACATCGGGGAGAAAGAAATGCCTCATTATAGACTTTTTAAGGCATTTTCTGTCTTGCGACTGCTGTGCGACACAAAAGTTTGGGTTCTGTCCGGCTGTGTTCCTGAGAATGCTTGTTTCGCCAACTTGCGCCTTGTCGGGGTCGTCCAGATGACGTCATACATGATCCGAATTTCTTTGCTAACGGCATCCCGACTTGCAGGTCTGGCGCATCAACCGTGAGCGTGCTGTCGACTACCTCAACACCCGTAACCGCATCTACGTTATCGATGGTTTCGCCGGCTGGGACGAGAGATACCGCATCAGCGTCCGTGTCGTCTGCGCCCGTGCCTACCATGCTCTCTTCATGCGCAACATGCTTATCCGC